TAACATCTCCAAAGTTTTCTGTCTAATCATTGCGTTGATGATACACATATTCCAAATATTGATGTGTTAAACTATTGAAGAAAAATGCTAGCTAGGTCAGTCTTGTGTGGGTGTGATTGATTTCACATCATTGATGCTGTAAAATTTTATTGAATTCACATACATTTACAATAAAAAATTACTCACATGTGTTTGAGCGAGAATTTTTGCAAAAGTGATGTTATTTGCACACTTTTTTTTTTTTTACTTTTCACACACTATCTCAATTTTTAGCTGTCCGATTAAATGAATTGAAGATGGTCAAATGATAAAAATTAATAGGATGTGTGTGAAAGGTAAAAAAACGACATGCGAGTTGCGCCACCCTTTTAGCAATCATCTTAAACCGTAAGCAATGAATAAAACTATGCTTCCAAAAACCAACTGGTACAAAGTCATTTAACCTTCACTTTATTGGAGAGGAGACTTAGTTAAGTTACATGGACGATAGTTTGTAGAAGTCAACCAAAAAAACTATTTGTACCACTCGTATTGAAAGAGGTGGTAAGTTTGTTGATTAATTATCTCTAATTAATCTACTGGTAAAACCATTAAACTATTCATGATCAAAGAGTTCATGACACATCTCGATCCGAAATGTCCACTAGGACTTCGAATCAAGCTGTGTTGGCCGACACCTGGAATGTGACGAGGCCATAAAGTGTAATGATGTGGAAAAATGTAAGTAAATTTAAACCTAAAAGTGCCTAAGTATAAGAGCGAGCTGTGAGTGAGAATGAACTCATTTCACATGTGATGTCAGAGTATAAGTACAATACAATAAAATAGGATAAGAATTATACCATCGAAGGTAATCGTCTACACCAAGATTTGCCAAGAATCCTCGCCGACAAGAAAGCTCAGCTAATAAAACCTGGAGGGGCGAAAAACAAGGGTGAGTGGGCCTGAAAATAAAGTTTTATAAAAACCTTTCGGAAAACATTGTAACCCCTCGCCGTAAAACAAGTATAATTTCCAAAATATACTTACTACGTATAGTATAAAAATACTTACCGTAGCCTGTGAAATCTCAAGAATTCATTACGGCACAATATCTTGTAACTAAGGGCAAGATATCCAAAATCACAAAATCTCAACAGTAATATAAGTAAAATCAGGTGCTCAAATATTCTATGCTAGCACACAAGTCGGAGTCACCTAATGCGACCTATATGACTGAACTGATATGCTAGCACACGAGTCGGAGTTGCCTAATGCAACCTGTACAACAGGAATGGGTGTAATCATAATATATGCTCGAGTGCTACAATCACATGAAGACTGGCGCTATTCGCGATCACCTATGAGTCAGAGTTGCCTAATGCAACCTGTACGACAGGACATACACCTACTTGGATCCAAGGCGAGCGTGCAGTACGGAGGTGAACATACTCGTGAAAGATTGGCCCTGGCCTTGAGTGAGCACTAACACCGTGGTGCAGCAATGATAAGCATAAAACATAAATATAGTCATGCCATAGTGGTTCGATAGTTCTAATCAATATAATATCATTCATAGCCGTAGGTATAATTATGGCATCTAAGATTATAAGCATACTTGTGTATCCCATAGGATGTAGCATATTTCATAAATTCCGTCATTTCACTAATTCTTATAAACTTTAGTCTAATCTAGGCGTACGTAAGAAATTCTTTTTCAAATGCATAAATGAAATTATCAATCATATATATATATATACACACACACACACACACACACTATAAAAAGAAAAAGATCCACTCACCTGAAGTCCGCGCTACAACTCCCTAACACGAATATCAGGGCATCATGAACGATCGATAGAACATGTAACTTACATAAAACACATCCCCAAGGACGTTTTAGAATGATTTGTAACCCATTGACCAAAAGTCAACCGTCAGTCAAAGGTCGACGGTAGGGTCTACAACCCTACATAACTCAATCCAGAAGATCCGCACCTTGGATTTCTGATCCATAACTTCCCAAGAGTTTCAATAAGCTTCTAGAACAACATCGTAAAGTTTTGGAACGATCCAACGGTCAGATCACCTGCCAATCGTTAAAATTAAGTGACGGTCGACGTTTAGATTTACAAACTTAGAAAACCCATCCAGGAAGATCCATAAATTAGATTCCCGATCCACCAATTCCTAATATCCTTAAATATTGTGTACTATTACGTATTAAAGTTTGGTGACGATCCAATGGTCGGATCGTTGAATCATATAATAACCAAGTGGTGGCCCTTAACGGAAATATAACCAAACAACAGAATTTCGTCAACCAGATGTCTAATATGGTATCAGGGCACCTATTTTACCCTAGAGGTCATGTGGTGTCTCTGCCGACACGCCGCCGCCGCACGTGGCGGTCGGCCGTCCTGACTCGCCGGAAAATTCAACTATTTCAAACAATTCTCAAATTTTACATAAATGAAGATCTCAAAAAGTAGAACAAGTTTTACACCTGTGGCCAAGTCCAATTTGGCTGGGAAAAGCTCCAATTTAGCTCGCACCCGTCGGAAACCCTAGAATGTGTGAGCTTCGATTTGTCGTTGCCGGTATTCCACTGCCCCTACCACCGGTTGCGTCTTGTTCCTGGGTCCAATGGGAGTCTAATGGTGGTGGAGATCAAGGGAATTTGCTTCAAATTTTGATGAATTGCCACCAAGAACCTCACGGTGCCAACGCCGTCAATTACCACGAAACGGGCTTAATCTCATCAAATCTTTGGTGATCAATGAATGAGGAGGGGCGTGATGATGTTTGCAAGTGTTGGAGTGTCCTAATTCGCCGGAAAAAATGGCGGAGATCGTCATAAAAGGCTCGGGGAGGTCCGGGTCGAAGGCTGGGTCACGGTTTGGAAATGGGTCGAGGAAAAATGTTTTTGGTTGTGTGCCTCTCCACTCCATCCTTTCCCCTCCTTTCTTCTGTTTTTGATTCGCCAGCCTTCCCTCTCCTCTCCCGATTCGGCCCCCTCCTTCCTCCGATTGGGCAGCAACCCTTCTCTCCTCCGTTCCTTCTTCTCCTTTCCCTCATTTCTCTCAAAATAATCTTAAAATAATAAGTAGTAATTCTATACACAAATATTTTTCAGATTCGTAATTCCGTTAAATTTTAACCGTAACTCCGATTTCAATTCCGCTTGCGTCTACGCATTCATATCGTTAAGTACTTCAAGAATACGCTAAAAGAATATTTCATACGTCTCACTATACGTTGGTCAACGAAAGTCAATACCCTCGCCTCTAAGGCATTTTCGTCAATTCACTCATTTAAAATCAATAAAATCGTAAAGTTAGGAATATGTTGTCACAGTTCAAGTTATGATATATGAAAATATTACCTAAATGGGTGATGTTGGCCACAAAAAACTCTTGTTGCAATTTTCTTATAAAATTTACAAACAATTACATGTGCACCTTCTGCTCTTGAACTAACATGATTACCAAAGTACATAACCTGCCCAGTCCACGCACTTACAAATTTTTCTTTGAAAGGTAGCCATGTAGATGTAATATATTTAAGAGCATAATTAGTGTACTTGTCCTTGTATTTTACTTCAAAACAATTCCAAGTTTCGTTGAATGATGATTCATCAGGAGACTGTTTTAAACTAGTCTAAGTGGATATGAAATTAACCCAGTCATCTTTGTTTTCAAAATGAGACTTATAATTTGTAAGAATATTTTTCTCAATGTGCCAAACACATAAAATATTTGTAGCTCTAGGGAAGACACTTTCTATAGCTTTCATCAACGCCAATTCCCTATCTATTATAATCGCCACTAGATGATTATCAATTCCCATGTGTTTACTAAACATTGTCAGCGCCCATGCATGGTCCTCTTCCTCTTCCTTTTGCATGACGGCAAAACAAGAATAAAATGAAACTTGAGACCCCAATGATATCCAACAATGGCATCTTGTACTTGTTAGTCTTATAGATGCAATCCATCACAAAAACATTTGAGTAGCTATTAGTCAGTTCATTGAAATGAGATGGGTAAAGAACAAATAAGTCAAATGATCATTCTGATCATACTCAATGTTATAAGTGAAATCACCTTAACCAAGTTCGTCCAACAAGGCTTGAATAGTCGTATGTCTTCTTAAACTCTGCTTCATAATCTTATACCTTTCATTATAGACATGAGAAATTGCTTGAAGATTAGGATTACTTTGATGAATTACCCAAAAAAATTACAAAAAGGAAAAATTTTGCTTAGACTAAGAGAAAAAAAGTCTAAGGACGAAGAAATGCCTGACTTTACAAAGCAGCCATCAATTCTATATGGAGCTAGAGTCTTTTGCATATATGCTTGTGACTTTATAAAGCAGCCACCGATTCTATATGGAGCACAAAAGGTCTTTACAACTCCTTATAAATATTTACCCATATTTAAGTCATCATACTTAGGGGTGTATTCAATTGAAAATTTGAGAAACTTTAATGGATTTTGATGGAGTTTAATTGATTTGTAGAGATTCCATGTAAAATTTTGATTCAATTCCCTCAAAATCTCATGGGGAGAGGTGAGATTTGTGGATGCTTAAAATACACTACGAAATCTCTTCAATTCCCTCTAATTCCTCAAATTTATCAAATTCTTTAAAATCAATTTCTAATTGAATACACCTAAAATGTTTTTAACTTCTTTAAAATCTTAATTAAATACACCCGGATTTCTAAGGATTTTAATAAACTATTTTAAAATCTTGATTGAATACCCCTAAATTCATTAAAATAATTAAAATCTCTCAAAATCTCAATTGAATACACTCATCTTAATGAGGTTTTCAAGATTGTAGACATCAAAAGTAATATAAGGGTAAAATTTGAAATCACATTAAAAAAAAATCAAAATAGATAAATTAAAAATGTAGATGAGTGTAGATTGAGATTTTAAAAGTGCCAATAACAGCTCTATAAATAAAATCCAATATCAGTCAGTTCTTACTTTACCATGCAGTACTTTTGTGAACTAACGCTCCCAGCACAAGGTTCTCTTCTCCGCGTTTGTTTACAATTTGAAAAAAGAAAAGAAAAGTAAAAGAAAAAAAGAAAAAAGGGTTGCTGAAGAAGGAAGAGTCGTAGACGTTGCAGTGGTGGCTATGGTATATATATAAAATAAAAAAAATAAAAAATATATATATGTGCAACAGTGCAAGTGTGAAAGGGAAAGGGATTTCGTGAAAACCTTGTCCTTGTGAGCCTCTTTTTTTTCACGTAACCAATCCCTTTCGATTACCTCTCTTCCGCTTCCTCCTCTTCCTCCTCTGTTGTGAAAGTCTTTGTCCTCGATTATATGTGTTTGAGGGTTGATCATCGAGAAGAATTCGAGCCCCCCTCGACAAATTTCTGATGTGATTTTGGCTACTTTTCAAGAATTGGTGGTACGTCATGCTCTTCTTCCCTTTTTTTTTTCGATAATCTTTTGTGGGTTGTTGAGAATTGGGTTAAATTTTATAGATTTGGAGGTGGGTCTGTGATAATTTGGGGTTTTTGTCGAGGCTGAAGATCTATAAATCGGGAATTTTCCAGTTGATTGCAGGTTATTCTACAAAAGTGGTTTGCTCGCTCAATTCAATTGCTTGGAGGTCAGCGGTATCGGATTTTGTGGTCGAGCATCGTTGTCTGGTTTGAGATAAGATGAGTTCGAGTATCGCTGAAGGTTTGGTTCATCAGGGCAAGCTTTTGGTTCGTATTGCTGAGAATGGGCATTCATTTGAGCTCGATTGTGAAGATAGCACACCGGTGGAGGCAGTTATGCGGTATATTGAATCCATGGCTGGGATTAATTTCAATGACCAGCTTGTTTTGTGTTTGGATATGAAGCTTGAGCCACAGAGGCGGCTTTCGGCTTATAAGCTTCCAGCTGATGGTCGGGAAGTGTTTATATTCAATAAAGCAAGGCTGCAGGCTAATTCTCCGCTCCCTCAGCCCGAGCAAGTTGATATTCTTGACATTGCTGACCCCCAATCACCTTCAGCTTCACATGACCCTCACCCTTTGGATGATGCTTCAGACCCTGCTTTGAAGGCCTTGCCTTCTTATGAAAGGCAATTTAGGTACCACTACCACAAGGGTCATGCAATTTACAGTCGTACCCAAGTAAAATATGAGAACTGTGAGAGGCTTTTGAGGGAGCAAAAGGTTCAAGAAAGGGCAGTGGAGGTTGCTAGGGGCAATTTGGATCAATATTATAAAATGATAAACCAAAACTACACAGAATTCATGAAGCGTTATTCACAACAGCATCGAAGTCATTCTGATGTTTTGACCAATCTTGGGAGGGATGTAGAAAAACTGAGATCTATCAAGCTTCACCCTGCATTAGAGACTGACACTCGGAAGTGCTTATCGGATTTTGTGAAGGAAGAGAACTTGAGGAAAGCGGGAGAAAATTGTAGCAGTTCCCACAGGCAGTTTGAGAATAAGGTTTCACAGTTTAAACAGATGTTTAGTGAGGTAAAGCGGAGAGTCGAAGAATTGTTTTCTAATAGGGCTTCATTGCCTATTAGGAATTTGGAAATCGCGATTAAGGAGCACCAAAGATATATTCATGAGCAAAGGAGTATCATGCAATCTTTGAGGTTGGTTTTTTTTTTTTTTTTTTCTGGTCATAGTTATGCAGTATCAGATATCTGGTTTTCGTCTATTTGTCTTTCTAACTTCCTCCGTCAAGTTTCTTTTGGATCATTTGGAGATTACTTATGAATGCTCATTTATCATTTTAAAACTTTGTTGTTGCTGAAAACCAAATCGGTTTTTAGAATTTATCATTTTGTTAGCAATTACGTTGCATGAGTAGTACTGCAGCATATTTCATGTTAAGAACATTTTGTAGACAGGATTCCAGATATAATTTAGAGGTTTGTATGTGTGGTTTCATGTTCACGTATGCATCATATGTTCGTTGTAGGCGTTGTTTTAGTTTACTCTCCTGGTCTGCTACCCTTGAGCTCTTCAGTGTTCCTCGACTGAATTGTACAGAGATACAAGTTCATCCTGTTGTTTTTTGACTTCTGATGCTTTTAAGGTTGTCTGTTGGCTTTATTATCATCATTAGATAATACGGTTAGTTCGAATGCCCATCTTTTGGGGATACTGAGATGCTGATAAGGAGAGATGGAAAGGAAATGAATGGAGTTTGTGTAGCTACTCATGCCAGGGGCAAATAAAATTACTCACATTTGTATTTTTCTCTTAAAGCAAACAAGTACCACTAGATAAGTGCTTAAAGCCTTAACCTAATGAAGTAGAGTAGATGAGTTAGTGATGCAGGACAACCTCAATTAAGGGAGGATGTCTGTCTAATTTGAGTGTTGTTGACTTATGAATTGTAGAAAGAAGGTACAGCGGAAATCATAAAGAAATAAATGAAAAGTATGAGAAAAGGATGGAAACTACTAGCATCACACCAGTAGGGTTTGTAGGAATCACTCCTACAGGACTAAGGCATCACACCGAGGGTTAGGTTGCATCACAAAAGCTAGAGAGAAGCAAAGCTCTGACAATTTTTAATTCAGTCGTCCAAAACTGTCTCCAAAGAGTTACAAGGATGTAATATAAAGACCTTAATCAAATCCTGTTCTCCATCAGTTAGGTAACAAAATCCTTGTCAGTAACTCTAGAAGTAAAAGATTAAACATCCTTGTCACCAATTCCCAATCCTGTTCTCCATCAATTAGGTATCAAAATCCGAAGCCATAAGGTGGTTGAGTTTTCATCAGAAGTTACCTCATATTTTCACTAGATCAATTTTCCTCCTACGATGCTATGCATTAGCTTCAAAGCTCAAAACCTTCTAATGATTAATGACTAGTTTATCTTATGAAATGATAAGAAAGGGTTGAGCAAAAGACTCTTTTCAATGAAGAGGCCTTTCTGCTCAATTTGTTCTTGCGGAGGTTGGGGAAAGCATTATATAAATGGAAATTTTGTAGGTAATAAAAATTTGTAAAATGTTTGTATTTTAATGTGGGTGGGAAAATAGGACAAGTGAAGGGAATAGCAGAACTCAATTGTTATTGTTTGTGGCTGTCCTTTTGTTCGAGTATGGTAACATTCAGGAAGTGGCTATTCTCTTTATTTGTATATGCACAACTTGTATTTTGTTGAATGATTTTACCCATTTGATGTACTCGTACACCCGTTAGAGTGGAAGCATATCATAATAGATACGAAGCTTACCAGATCGTAAACCTCCAGGACTACTAAAGGTTTCTGAATATTATGGTCTTTGGGATCACGACTCTCAATTTCATTACTGCACTTAGATGCACAATTGTCTGCTGTAAAATACTAAATTAGTTATATTATTTTTAAATATACTAACCAGTTATAATTCATGCAGCAAAGATGTAAATACTGTCAAGAAACTCGTGGACGATTGCTTGTCTTGCCAATTGTCTTCGTCACTTCGTCCTCATGATGCAGTTTCAGCCTTGGGCCCTATGTATGATGTCCATGACAAAAATCACCTGCCTAGGATGCAGGCTTGTGATCACGCAATTTCCAAGCTCCTCGACTTCTGCAAGGATAAAAAGAATGAAATGAACGTATTCCTCCATAAATTTATGCAAAAGATAACATATATTTCTTACTTCATCAAAGATGCAAAATTACAGTTTCCTGTTTTTAGAGAGGCAATGGTCCGTCAGGAGGATCTATTTTTGGACTTAAAGTTGGTCCGCGGGATCGGCCCTGCATATAGAGCCTGCTTAGCAGAAATAGTCAGACGAAAGGCTTCATTGAAGCTTTACATGGGGATGGCTGGACAGTTGGCTGAAAGACTTGCGACAAAGAGGGACACTGAAGTCAGGAGACGGGAGGAGTTTTTGAGAACTCACAGTTTATACATACCCAGGGATGTATTAGCATCCATGGGACTATATGACACCCCTAATCAGTGTGATGTCAACATAGCTCCTTTTGATACTAGCTTGCTTGATATTGAGATTTCAGACATTGACCGTTATGCACCTGAGTACTTGACTGCACTGTCTTCAAAGAGTGCGTTTAGAGGTTCAAATTCTATGTCGAATGAAAGTTGTCATTCGGTTGATGCTGATGAGAGTACATTGGATAACTTTGAGAATTGCGACTCTGAGGAGCTACTTGAAGGCTGTGGGTTGGTAGAGATTGCTGGAACAGGTAAGTTGGAAGTTGAGAATGCAAAACTGAAAGCAGAACTGGCGTCTGCTATAGCTGTGATTTGTTCATTCTGGCCTGAAGTAGACCTTGAATCATTGGATGATAGTAAAGTGGATAATTTATTGAAGGATGCCGCAGAGAAGACAGCTGAAGCCTTGCACCTGAAAGATGAATATGGAAAGCATCTACAATCGATGCTCAGGGAGAAGCAGATGCAGTGTCTTTCATATGAGAAACGCATTCAAGAACTTGAACAGAGATTGTCTGATCAGTATTCGCAAAGCCAGAAGATTTCAAATGATAAGGATGCCTCTGAATTTGGAATTTTGTCTGATAAGGTTGAGATCTGCAAGCAAGAGGGTGGTAGGGGAGTCCATATGCCTTGCTCATCTAATGCTGATCCCATGGATGAGGTTTCCTGCATCTCTAGTGTTTTTGATGCAAAACTGGGTCTGTTCAATGTGCAACCTGGAAAAATGAGAGATGGGGTAGATGAAAATATGATGGATTCTTCTGCAGTACGAAATCATCTAATGGATTCATCCATGCAAGAGCTACAGCGTGAAGAACTGCTAGCCAGTGGTAAAGATGGAAAAGATAAGATGGAGGGGCAGCTGGGCATGTCACTGACAAACAGTTCTACTGCTGAAAGCATGCCTGAACCTCTTACTGTTATACCATGTGAAACAGCAGTTGACCCAGGCTTGGACACCAAAGTCAGTGCGGAGCTGTTACTGGAATTGCAAACTGCACTTTCAGAGAAGTCAAACCAGTTGAGTGAAACAGAAATTAAGCTTAAAGCTGCTATGGAGGATGTTTCTATGCTTAAGAGGGAATTGGACACAAATCGGAAACTCCTTGACGAATCTCAGGTCTGACTCAACCACTTTTTTTTTTATGTTTTCTTTCGAGAGATTATTTCTCAGCAATTTTTAACTCATGCATCCGGCTGTTCTGTTCTTTGTTTCTTTTATAAATGCATTCTCTCTCTCTCTCTCTCTCTCTCTCTCTCTCTCTCTCTCTCTCTCTCTCACTCACTCACACACACACATATCGAGTGTATTTGTGGGTGGCACATATTCTTTAGTCGGTGTTTCTTAGATGACTCTCATGTTGAAGTCACAGTGAACTTAATTCACCTGATTTATATTTTTCTTTTGAATATTTTTCAACATGACTGTTCAATAGAAGTTGGTATTTAAAAATGCTAAATTATGATCCCTAGCCTGCTTTTGTTTCCTTAAGAACAATTCTTACAAAGAATGGTCGACTTTATTTCCCTAGAGCTCTTCCCTTTTTATCTATACATATTACATACTTAAAAAAAGCTGGATTATGCTGTTGTGGTAGATACTTTGTTGCACAGATACTTGAAAATTAGGGAAGGGTGCGTATTTGATACCTACACCCCTACGATACTGTCCAACACGTTGGACACTCATTGGAGTATCGTTGACTTTTCTGATTTGTTGACTCTGGGATACAGCAACAATACTCTTACAGGCATGGATTATTCTGAAAATTTTCAAAATTTTTGGGGGTGTAGGAGGGATTGATTTGATTCTATGGATATAACTATTTGGTTCTATTAATTCTTAGCTCTTCCATATTTTGATTGTATATTTTCATGCTTTGCCCATGCCAGATGAATTGTGCGCACTTGGAGAATTGTTTGCATGAGGCAAGAGAGGAAGCTCAAACCCATCTTTGTGCGGCTGATCGTAGGGCCTCGGAGTATAGTGCACTGCGCGCATCTGCTGTGAAAATGCGTGGCCTTTTTGAAAGACTTAGGAGCTGTGTTTATGCCCAGGGTGGGGTGGCTAGTTTTAATGAATCTTTGCGCTCCTTAGCACAATCTCTGGGCAAGTAAGTTTTCCACACCACTAAAATTACTTTTATCTGTTTTGAACAAATTCTGTTATTCGTTTTGACAAAAAAAAAAAAAAACAAATTTTATTATCTCAATTTCTCACTAATGCTTTGTCTGACGCTATATCTTATGCAACCTTGATAGCATTCCTTCTGAAAGTGTACATAACCAGGTCATTTTAATGTGAAAAAGAAATGAAATAAGTACACTGGGGAGAAACCCCCACACTAGAAAACATTATAATGGAGGGAAAGATGTCCATGTTTCCAGGAGTTTTCATGGGTACTTTCATTTAATGAATACTTTTAGATCAGTTATTGACATTGGGAGATGACTGTGATTTGGGCTTTGAATTGTTTCAGTTCTATTAACGACAATGAAGATGATGGTACTGTTGAATTTCGGAAATGTATTCGGGTCCTGGCAGAAAGGGTTGGTTTCTTGTCAAGGCACCGTGAAGAGCTGCTTGACAAGTATCCAAAGGTTGAAGCTGCAAATGAACAACTTAGAATAGAATTGGAAGAGAAGAAGGATCTGGTTAAAACTTTGTATACTAAGCATCAACTTGAGAAGCAGGTAATTCATATTTTTTATTTTTTATTTTTGACAAACGATAGCATTGGTGGGTTAACTGGAGAAGCGGGTAATTGATAATAGAGGGATATTTTGATCAACAGAAAAGAAATATTCGTTACTTGGTACCAAGAAAAAGTAAAATAGTTTAATGTAATAGTTTCTACGCATGGTTTAGTGACCTAGGCATCAACTGTGACCTGAATTCTGTTCCGGCTGAATGATGAATTAACAGGTGGTTAATTTTGCTGCAGGCAAACAAAGAGAAGATATCTTTCGGTCGCTTGGAAGTCCACGAGATTGCTGCATTTGTTCTAAACACATTTGGGCGGTACGAGGCAATTAATCGGAATTGCTCCAACTACTACCTGTCTGCTGAATCTGTAGCCTTGTTTACTGATCATCTCCCAAATCAACCTAACTACATTGTGGGACAAATTGTGCACATCGAACGGCAGACTGTGAAGCCATTGGCTCCTAGTTCAACCCGGTCTGAGCACGAGCTAACATCTGACACGGGAACCGACCGGTTGGCCTTGAATTCAGGATTGAACCCGTATGGTCTCCCAATCGGCTGTGAATACTTCGTAGTGACAGTAGCCATGTTACCTGGTACCACCACCATTCATACCCCGCCTCCTTCCTGATCCCTGCAGCGTAGGCAGATCGACGTGATGGAAGAATCCCAACTGTACATATGAATTTTACGTTTAAACATTTATATATCCTTCTAGCGGGAGATTGGCACTTTGATTTCTGTATATATCTAGCTATTTCCTACGAACATGTACAAAAATGTGAATAATTCTATTGAGTTTCTGTGAATGTTATCCCGGACAGCTCGGGCGCTCTTCCGGTTTTCTTGTTCAGTTTGCTGTTGCTTACTTTGGTTTTTCTGTTCTCGCTTTACTTTGTAAAACCCGAGACTTGTATACTTTGCGAGCGACGTTCTGCACCCGTTATGTACATCGAAACGAGTCGTCGAAGAATTGCAAAAGTAGAATAAAATTGTGCTATTAAACTTCTAAAAATTCAAATCGTGTTCCATCCAATAATCCAAAGCATCATATATATTACACACACGACACATATTTCCTTTTTATCATTTTACATCAGTGTTTTGCAACTCTCAAGTCTATTACCGTACACTCAAAAACAAAATCAACACCGCAATGAATGACAGGTACAAGAAAAGTTCGAAAAATACACGAAAGTGAATCACACAAATCGTTTAAACGGCTTCCTCCCAGCTCGTGGAGCCACAGGCATTGAAACCGTGGAATCTATGCTCGTGTTTCCGATAGATTGCAAAGACCGGTTCTTATCTAAATTCATTGGAGAGCTAGAATCCTTGTTGTTAGAGAAAAAAGCTTTGTTCCACTTGAAAGACCCAATACCTTGTGTCAAAGGGAAGGAAAGCCTCCTTTTGGACTCACTGGTCGGTGTCCCCACAAATCTATCCCTGGGATTGCTACTAGCTCGTGCTTTCGCTTTGGCTGATGCTGTTGGAGCCATGTAGTTTGGAACAGAAAATGGGGGGCAGCTTGTGAGGCTGGCATCATCCTTGAGTGGAAAACCGAAAGGGGATTCAGCTCCATCAGCTGGTGTTCTTCTGTACTTCGATAGCCCAGACCTGTTTGCTTGTGGAGTCCTACTCATATTAGTGGGAGGCGGGGTTCGTGCTGGTTTTATTGTTGTCAGATTAATGGTTGTTGCTGACGATTTTGGTGTGTCGAAGTTGTTATCAAATGGAAAAGGATGTTCCCCTTGATTGCTTGACTGGGCCAGGGGGCTTGGCTTTCGCTCTGATCCTAGTCTTGGAGGAGTAAACTGAAAAGTTTTCAATGCATTGGTTGCTGCAGGAGGGTCTACTGGAGGGATCTGACGTTCCAACCAGTTCCACCACCACGGAAATCCCCCAGACCGGATATCAGCTAAAGGTGTTTGACCTGATTTAGGAGTAGCCTTCCACAGCTGTTTTTGTTACACAAAAGTACAAAGCAACGTCAAGAAATATGATAACTATCAATTGCATTAAAAACTGCACAAAGGAAACCAATTAACCCCTTAAGCCACTATGTTCTTTTTTTTTTCTTTAGCAAACGATATTCTAAGTTACTCTAGTCTAGGGGAAAAAAGATCGAATTCAAGGTCAATGGAACTGGCCTGACCCACAAATACCTCTAAGATCAAGACACTCAGAGGGTTACACCTTGGCCATTAGGGGATTGATAGTGTCACCTTACCACTATTATGTAACCCATGCATAGAAAAAACTCATTAATATAATCATGTAAAAACCTATTCCTCCTTCAATAACGATGCAATATCATTATACCATTCAAATGTCATTACCGGAACCGTTGATCTCTTAGAAAATCATTTGATTAGAAGACTGTTTAGTCATCCATATGAATACAACAAATTAGCGGTCTATCATGAGGACTTTTTACCATAACCATCAATCTGAACGATGCACATGAATGAATTTTTTGAGATAGTCTTAGTTAATGATAAAGAGAACAAATGGTTCTAATTATGACGTTTGTCCGGTGAAATGATGAAACTCACTATCTACGTCATTGTTAATATTGCATCTTTCAGAGTTTAATAGGGTATGAAACTATAACATAAAAGTGAAGATTGTTTTTTCCCTATCTGAACAGAAAAGTGAACGCAGAATAACATACAGTTGAAGAAAATGAGACTAGAAAATAGATTCAGTTGGGTTACTGCTACTGGTGCAGAAAGAATACCTGGTTGGAGTATGCGTAAGCCATTGCTCTCTCTCTTTTCATGACTGCCTCAACCTTTTTCTGCAACCTTGCCTCCACTTCCTCCTTAGTTAGCAAGCTATCATCCCAATCCTCGTTATTGGCCGTCTCGGACTAGAGCACAATCCTTGAAATTGTTAGCACTACTTTGTTTTATAGATATGTTGTGCTTAACCACGTTAAAGACATAGTAGTGAAGTTTTTATACGTTTATTTTTCATTTTTTAGCACAAAAAGTAGAGTAATCTTCTTTTAGATTGTTATAGTCATGTGAGTCTACAGGTTTCCATATCAAAAGATGGTTCATCTAATCTGTTTTGAGAAGTAATGCGGCCTAAAAGATCTTGTTTCATAATATAAGATCACTATACATTTTCGGCCAATTCTCCACCAGCTTAAGCTTTCCTTGAAGTGACATAAATGCAATATGCATCGTGCTGTGTTCAGCTTGATACATATTGTAAGGCCCGTTAACCATAAACTCAGCTAAGTGCTTAGCTGTTGTTCATCGGAACCATTGCTTCTATTAATTTTATCTTCTATTTACATGCGTAAGGTCCATGTTTTCCCCAAATTATTGACCATATTAACGTACAAATGAAGAAGTGTTAGTGTGTGGATGTGCAAGTGTAATGTTAGTGATTAGCCTTATATTTGTTTTAGGGCCCCCTACAATAGCTATGAGCTTAAACATTTGGAACCAAATGAAACAGATAGGCATAGAATAACAAACAGATGAATGGAGACATACTTGCTGGCTCAAGTTCCATTTGCCAAAGGTGCTTTCCACATCTTTGTCATTCTTGTTTTGGACTTGATGTCGTGCTTGGTTTTCTAACATCTGAATCCTCCGCGACTGAATTTGGGACTGAACGCGCACTGAGAGTTGCATGTATTTCATGGCATTCATCGTCTGACGCTTCACGTTCTGGCCTCTTACTACTCCTTGAAGCCTCACTAGACCCTTTAGAGCTCTAAAGCTTCTTCTTGCCTGTATAAAAAGTAGACTAAGTTCATTACAGGCTCCCAGGAAGTTCATAACCTATAGTTATCAAAACCTAGACTTGATCCAGATGTGCTTGCTCAAGACAACTTCGCATGGTACCAAAACCTTCCCAAGAACGATGTAGCATGATCTCGGACAGAATGACGACTGCACAGTAATGCAGAAGCCTTTTTTATCTTTCTCCTGTGCGCATACCTCTAGAGTTATACAATACACCTCTACGGGAAGGCAATGTACCTTTTAAATAAAGTTTTAATGTGTAAACCAGAAAAATGAATATGGACCAAACAAAATCTTATCTCTGGTCGCTGGTCAAACCCTTTGCGCACTACTTACATTTGAACTGCTGCTGTGCTTCTAAAAACTAATTATGCACATAAAATTTGCAACTTTATGATATAAAGTCAGGACTCAAAACACCAGATTCTAGATAGCACGTTATATTATACTAACGGCTACATTTTTGGAGAATTGGTTAGTCTAGTAACTTTTACCTAAAACGTTCTCCAAAAGTGATGTCCGAATTTGAGTTATTTATTTTGACAGGGCATAACTATGCATTGTCTTATGCGGCCACAGTAAAAGTAGAACCACTAGAAAGCTTTCAATTAGATGAACTGAACAAAGGGATTAGGTTTTCCTATATTGAATTCTACCTTCGTATAGTCCAGTTTTCACATTACACGTAACATCCCACCCCACCCTTGAGTGCTAATGGGTGAAAAGTAAGCTTACCATATAACCTCTATAGACTGCCTGAATTTTAGTAGCTGAGGCATGGTGGTTCCTTAGAGTTGGTTCAGGTCTGTAGCTAATCTCCTTATGTTGATGAAGGGTGCTAGGAGATGGAGCTCTTGGAGGAGGAGCTCTTAGAGGAGGGGGAGCTCTTGGAGGAGGAGGAGCTCTTGGAGGAGGAGCTCTTGGGGAAAGAGCCCTTGGAGAAGGAGCTCTTGGGGAAGGAGACCTTGGAGAAGCAGCCCTTGGTGAGCCAACCCTCGGAGAAGCAACTCTAGGAGGCACAAATGGCGGGGTCTTTGGTTGCTCATCAGGTGTAGGAGGCCTAAAAGTTACTCTTTGTTGCTCCCTCTCAAAATCCCCAAAAATTTTCTCAACGCTGCTTGGTTCTCTGAACAGTGGAATGAATGAATTGGTCTCTCCACGATTTAGTTTCCCAAGCCCCTTCTTCTTTTCTTTTGTGTTTTTCCTCTCTGAACCCTGCAATATGATTAACAATGAGATTTAGTTTGAGTTAGCAAATATTTTGCACGTTTTTTACCCCTGCACTCGAAAAGCAGAAAAAACTGATTATGCACTACACAAATTTAAAAGAAAAATGTGCACCACTCTAATCAAAGTTTAACCGTCTTTTGTTGCAGACATACAATAAACTGAATTGAACATATAAACTGCAGTATGAATTTATGATTGTTTTATCGCCAAAAAGACGAAACAATCATATTGTAAATACTAAAACGCCATCTCTACACAGTTCTCGCTAGTACAAATGCTACAAGCACATTCATTACAGCTAGCAGCTGACTCATGTTTCTGAGACGACCCCTCGAATAGACTTATTTAAAAGTTAGAAATTTGGGAAAAAGTGGTCCGAATAGAAGCACAATTACAAAAGGTCAACCTGTGATTCGTCTGCTTATGTGAGACATTCAAAAAATTGTGATATAAATCTAGAAAACTCCATTGGAAAAAGAAATAGGCCATATTCTCTTACATTGACAGCCTTGTCCTTGTCCTTGTCCTTGGAATGCGGAGAGAAAACCCTCCTTATGGCGGAAAACCAACTCCCTTTCTTTCCCATGTTCCTAGCATTACCGTTCCTACCTGAAAGGGACAAGAAAGAGCACTTGAGAATTTACAGGTGCTAGTAAGTTACATTTTTGCATAGTGATGAAAACATCTAATTTGGATCGATGTTTCGATCACTAACAAAAGAAGCCTAGCTTGCAGAAAACACGCATATACGTACATATATATATATATATCAATTTGAATTATGTGTCCTCTTTGATTGTTTAAGCTTAATGTCCCCACCCACATACAGTAATCAAGGGGGGCATTGACAGACAAACCAACCATCAGGCATCAGTTAATTTGTTAAATTAAAAATGATTCAAAACTGAAACAATTACTAGATTGATCAGCAGCGCAACATTGATGTATCGAAGATCGTTAACTTCCATGGAAGAAGAAGAAAGCAAGAAAGAAATCCTTGTGCAGGAAGGCATACAGACAGACAGACAACAAGAAAAAAACACATATTATTGATGAACTATCAAATCAGATGATAATCCAGATCCTATAGTTTAACAAAAGTACAGACACCCACGAAAGTGAAATTAAGGACATCATTATCGTTCCTTATTTAATTTACTCAATAAATTAAGAAAACCAGACAACCAAAACACAAACCAAACAACAACAACAACAACAGAATATCAAGATAATATTATTTATTTATAAAAAATAAAAAAATAAACAATTTTCTCACTCTTACAAACACGAAATCAAGAGGGAGGGAGGGAGGGAGGGATCCCAAGAAGAAAGGACTCACAGGAGAATCACATCCCAAGTCAGAACTCAGCTGGAACTCAGAAGAGAACAATTGCTCTGACAGCAAGACTCTTTTCTTCTTCTTTTTTAAAATTTTATTTTTTTTATATATAATTAAATTAAATTATTTAAAATTGAGAACCATTTTATATGCATCTGCTCCTCCTCCAAGACAAAAAATAATAAAGATAATTAGACAGAGTAAGATGATTATTCAAGCAAGGCATCTGTACCTTATATCTCCTCCTCCTCCACCTCCAAGACGACCAACCAAAGCTTCCAAAGACAGCACTCGGCCGGATCCCTTTACAAATCAGCTGCTGCTACAACCAGAAGGACAGACAGACACAGAGAAAGAGCAAGCAACGAGAAGACGGAAGAGTCTCTCAGCCTCTCCCTTCTTTGTTTCTTTTCCCCATCAAAAAGCTTTTCTTTTTTCTTTTTTTTTTCACATATATTATTAATCAAAATGAATGGTTAGCGGTAGTTGTTCATGATGGAATTATGACTCTCTCTCTCTCTCTCTCTCTCTCTCTCTCTCCAACTTTGAATCTGGTTCTTGCTGGTATGAAAGAATGGATTTTACTTTTCAACTTTCCCACCTTCTGCCTTTTGCTGGATTTATAAGCCTTTAGATTTGTGTGTCTGTGTGTGTCATTGTGTGTCTGATGCCATGATGATGGAAGTGAGAGAAAGAGAAATAGAGGTTGGCCACTTTCTCACTCAATGTGGCCAACTTCAACTAACTTTACTTCAATGGGAAGACTATTTTGGCCACCACACCAGATTATTCCCACTTATTACAACTTTGGCCTCCCTTCACTCTCTATGTTTTTTTTATTCTCTTAATTTATTACACCAAATCTCTCCTTGATATTACGCTACATAGTATTCTTCTTTATTTACTTGTAAATTAGGAGTCTTTGAGCATATTTAAAAATGTTAAAACTATCACGTAGACATACAATAGTAAAAGTGATAGCAAACTCGCTCCAATCAAGCCTTTAATTTTTTATATGATGCTGAATCGATTGAAGGCAAGGCCTTTTGCTATCTAATTTAATAGCAAATATCAAATTTATTAAATAATTTTTTAATAGATTAATATAATATAATAAATGTTGCTATGTTTTTCAAATATTTGATTGGTTGCCTCAATATTGGATGCCACAAAAAGATAAAAACAAAATTTTTCAAATAACGTAATTATTTAACATATCGGGTGGAAGCAAAATGTTGTACAAAATGTTAAATTACCACATAAGCTATCAAATATCATTTTGATGTTTAAAATTTGACATCTCATTTGGAGATGCTCTTAGGTATTATTGACACAAGGCCTTGAAAGGAAGCCCATAAATACCTACAAAGTCGACATATCAAGCTATTAGACCATCTCCAATGGAGATGTCAATTTTTAAACCTAAAATTTAAATTTGAAGGCTTACGTGGCACATTGACATCTTTTAAAGTTTTGCTCTCCAACCGATATGTCAACTTTTAAACATAAAATAAAAATTCATATGTATTTTCTTTGCAGTGAGAATGAAAAGAAACACAAGGATAATGCTTAAAACCAATAAAAATTAATAAAAAGCATTTAATAATTAATTAAAAAAATGTGAAGGTGCTGACAAAATTGGCAGCAAGGGGAAGAGATATCATTCCATGTTATGTCACATTAGATTTGGCTTTTCGGTTGGAAAACATTAATGTTGTCTTTTATTACCGTTATTGCTGATTTGAACATTTTGACATCTCATTTGGAGATACTCTTAGGCGTATAGACCAGCCTAAGAGCTTTTATTTATCGAGCGGTGCATCAAGGATGGCTGAAGAGCATTGGCACCAACCACTCGAGCTAATAAACTATCAATCCTCAATGCCGACCATGAGGACCGAGCTTTCAACTTAAAGTACTTTTCGACTGCTTCATCCGAGTGAAAAACCTGACAACTTTTTGCCATGGAACTCCAAGAGACAGGCGGAAACGTCAATTGCATTCCACGCGTCAATCATCAATGTGGAAGGAAGTCTATAGTGGGACCCGAGTACTGTCAAATTAAGCGCTTGGTCTGGTTACTTTCCGATTGCACATAGTCTTACTTTCCGACCGCACACAGTCAAGCGTTGAGAAGATAAAAATGTATGTATGATCATGACATAATAGGATTCACAAAACTCATAAATCACAACATCAACAATGTATGTAATATTTGCATTTTCTAAGTAAAAGTCATGGCATGATATACAAGCATTCATAAAAGCAATTATGAAAACCATATACATGATATGTAGCTTGAAAACAAAAGCTCACTTACTAATACGTCGTTTGATCGTAGCCGTCTTGTCCTGCCTACCCTATGAGATGGAGCATGATCTTTGTTACATTGTCAAATGATTAAAGACCTACCCATAAAGCAACTGTGGTGTCTCAGATCAAATGACAACTTTGCATTATTGCAAGTTATGAGTTTTTATATGACATGTATATAAGAACTCTTTGTTGATCGTAGTTCAATGAACTCAATAATTTGAACACCTATGTGTTCATCGTATTGTCTAACACTAATGACTTGAGACGAGTCATACTTATGATTGAGTGGACATAACACATGCTAAACCTTCCTACACTAAACAAGAATTTAACAACATAAGTATTCCAAAAGCTATAAAGCAGCTTTCAAGGCATACTTATAACAAAAATTTCATGGTTACAAAGTTTTTATATTTACAAAAAAAATAATATATATACACTAATGAGGAGTAAACAATGAGATTGTTTTTAGTACCAACAACATTATCTGTACTAAATATCTCCACATTTTAATTAGTGAGTTTCACTAATTTGTTTCTTACCCTTCCATGTAATTTACGTCTTGAATTTTCAAACAGTTAACAAATAAAAGTGATCTGAATGCCTATCGTTTGACAAAATTTAGAGGGATTTTATTAAGTCGTTTCTTGATTTTTTTTTTTTAATTACATTTCTTGATTAATTCTTAAAATTTTAACATATAAGCTCTTGATAACTTTACATTTCAATGGAAATAAGTGTCAAACTCGGTACTTGAGAAAAATATTCTTATCATATCAATGAAAATTGATATGATAATTGGGGCAATGGCTTCCTGACTTTAGTATAATTGGAGTTTTGGTTCTTAAACTAAAAATTTATGAGCATTGGTTCGTGAATTTATTACAATGTGGAGCAATGATCCTTTTGGGTAACAACGTTAAAACTTTCATCATTTTTTTGCCTCATTAAACCCTTTACTTTGGAAGAAATATTTAATGATGTTATTGAATAGGATCATTGCTCCATACTCATATATTTTTAGTTCATCAGTTGGGCTAAAATCCAAAGATCGTGGCTCCAATTTTTTTCCCCACTTGGAAACTCTAATTGCTTTTTCTATAAAAGCTATAGATGTGAGAGAGTTTTGCTAGTTTACTATTAAATTCAAGAGTGGTGATATCTACACATCTAATTTTACATTTCACATATCGCTCTGAATTTTCGGTTGTCCCATTAAATGAATTGAACAAAATTAATGAATAAAAATTAAAAAATGTGTATGAGATGTAAAAATGAAGTGTGAGTAGAGCCACCCTTAATTCAAGTAAACAAACAAACCCAAGTAAACCGAAAATGTAGCCATAATCTGGGAGACTATGATTCTTTTCCCTCCTCTTACATTCTCTTATTTTGTCTTTCTCTTGTTATAAAAAATTAATATAAAATCTTAACGTGGTTTAACCATGATCGTTCAAATAGAAGAAAGGGAAAGATAGGGAAAAAAAGAGGAGAGATAATCCTACTCCTAATTTGGGTTGCAGTATAGGAGATGAAAGTTGACCTTTCATCACAATTATCTTCTCTTTTCCATTACTTTTAATCTACGATCCAAATTTCCACGCACACTTCCTGAACTATGCTACAAAGATGACCCGTGTGTTGAAAGTTGGTTATATTAAAATGATTTTTGTTCAATTTCAAATATTTTTTTGTCTTTAATGATAACGGAATATGGTGATACATACGATGTTCTATAACGATGATAGAAAACAATTATATATATTCATCATAATGCGCGTATGACTTCCACTAATTCACCTTCCTTCTAACAACTAAGAGATCGTTTGGAAGCATTTTTTAAATGACTGAACATTTTTGGTTGAATTGATTTTGACTTCCAAAAACATGTTAGATGTTTTTTTGGAAGAAACATCAGATATTTACTTCTTGCAAGAAACACTTAAAGTGCTTTTCTAAGATCCACTTGAATTTCTACTAAGAATTGATTTCAAATTTCACAAAAAATGATTTCAGTCATATTAAAAACATTTCCTAGCGAACCGTTTAACTCATTAGAGCTATCTTTTGAAAATAAAAAATGAGTATGGGATGGAATAGACAATACATATAATTAAAATTAAGTGGCTAAAAAAAAAATGGAAGGGGTCGTTGGTATAATACTAAATATTACTTTGTGACAGTACTAAATGCTATTAGTCCACATAACGTGCGTGACAATATGAGAATGCATATCACGGACAAGAGAGATGCAATAATGTTTAATTGATTTCTTCCCCTTAAATAATAAATAGTCAAAAGATTTTCCTAATTATGGAAATTAGTTTTGGTAGGTCAACTATGTTGTTCAACCAAACCTTATCGCCTTTTAGATACTTTTATTAACCTTTTAGATACCTTAGGCGACCTAAAAGAACAAGCAAGAAAAATAGTATTTCTTTTTGGCTTTAGCCAAAATGATCGGTGAAATTAGTATAACTCTTTACTTTGATCTTTAAAATTTAAAATCGACTAGAATTGATCATTGAGTTTGTTAATCATCAATCATTTTTGTCATTCTTTGAAAAATCTTCGTTAAATAAGGAGAAAATGATAAAAATACCTTCAATTTGTTGTCAAATCATTTTGGCCGATTATTTATTAAACTGAGGGATTTTTATCATTTTGATCCTTATTTAATAGATAGTTTCACAAAGGAACCAAAATGATTGATGATAGACAAACTTAAGAACCACTTATATTGATTTCAAATCTCATCGACCATTTTGAATAAAAAACATTTCTTTTTTGTATTTCTTTGTAGACTATATGTGTCCATTTTTCCACTACAAAAAAAAAATGTATTAATGATTTTAAATTTGTCTAATTTTTTTTGTAAATATGATCTATAAATGATATACTACAATATAAATAGTTCGGATCGTTAAAAAATACATTATGAAATAGATGTCAAAATGTGTATAAAAAACGTATACCAGATTTGTCACTTCGTACTACAGTCTGGTGGTATTGTTTTTCACTTATAAGTGAAAGGGTTTAAATTCGATTTTCGCCAAAAATGAATTTGAACCATATTATTGCTAACCTATTGTAAGGCTTACCTCACTTCCACATCTCTTAATTAGATAATATTGTTTGTTAAAAAAAATGTATATCCGATCCTAAACCACTAAGTAATTCAATTACATTTATCATCACTAAAAACAAAAGGAAAAAGTCCAAAATGGAGCTTTGTCTTCATCAATTTATCATTACAAGCCATGCGTCTTCATCAATTTAAAAAGGCGAGAGTTTTGTCTTATGTTATGTACGGAAAGAGCATCTACCTATTTTGGAATTCGGACGGTTGGAATTTAATCCAACAATTATAATTATTATCACTTTTAAAGGCTTCCTTGTTTGTAGTCGTTTGATCAAATTTCAACGATTCGGATCCAAACTAAGTGGGTTAGATGAAAAGGGATCTAAAGAGGATCCCTTTCTGTTATGTACCACCTAGGAAGACTCCGGAGTTGTCTCAAACAAAAACCTTGGAGGCTTGGAGCCACGAAGATGTAGGCCATGCGTAACCACACCATGATGCATTTTGGGTTTAAAAATAAGAAAATTAATGAAAATGATTTGAAAACTTTAAGTTTTAACGATAATGATAAAATAAAAAGTAAAATGAATATTACCATGATTGATTTTTTAGTGTAAAAATATGATTTTTCGTTAAAGTGAATAGTACCATGACTTTTCGTCATAACTCTCAAAAACACAAATCATGCCAGCAAACTGGGCTCAAAACATGCCATATTGTGCTGGATGTTGAGTTATGATTTGATGCCGAACAAGGCCTAACAGGAAGTGTGTCGATAGGACAAATGAGGTTTACGGGTAACAATAGCGTTAGTGGGTTAAACAGTTAACTGTTAGGGAAAGAAGACTCGGTAGAAATCGAATCTGTACCAAAGTACATAAACATGATTGCTTTATGAATCTGTACCAAAGTGCATAAACAAGATTGCTTTATGCCACTGCAGTAAAATATCAGTTGCAATTGCTAGTGGATTTCTCTATCTGTTTTCAAATTATATTTATTTGCTTTGTCCTTATTAATATATTTTTTTCGTATTCTAATTACTATTATCAAGAAAAGTATATATTTCTGTTCCAACAAGTGAAATGATAAGGAGTCTCTCTCAAAACAGGACTATAGGACTCTTCGACACCTTATGTTTTGGCATAATATTTTATAATGTTGGGACAAGAATTTTGTCAAAAACATGAGGTGGTAGAGAGTTCAAGAATAGCTTACTTTTAAGAGAGTCTTCTTAACATTTCTCATTCCAACAATCTTATACACAAAAAAGATGTTATGGAGCAATTAGTCAATATGAATGGTGTAAGAATAATTTGAGTCAATAACTTTGTGAATTAATCACTTGATTCTCGAGTAACTTAATATTTAGGTGACTTGATTGTTGAAGTGATCTTATGGCCAAATATGGTTAGAGTAATAAAGTCTTAACCTCTAATTAACCTATTATGTGATCTTTATTTAGTAAAGGCTTATTATGGTGGGATATAGAATATATAATTGTGAATATGAGTATCTCTCATTTAATAATAGACTTGATTGAGAAATATCCTAGCAACTATATAAAGATTGTGTCTGCTCTCACAATAATTGTTGTATTATGTGTTAAACCCTATTCATAGCAAAAACATATAGTTTGGAGAGAGTAGAAGACATTCTTATGCATACGCTAATTCTTCTGTCATCCTGAAAGAGTCATGTTTTCTGTATTCTACAGATAAGATGAATGTAATTAGTTCCTCTCTATTTTATATTGATTTATTCATTATATTAGTGATCATAATGTCTTGTTCTTCTGATTTTAGAACATGTCTAACAAGTAGGACCAAGAACCCTTATACCAAAAAGCCACAAAATTGTAAGGGATGAGACTTCAAATGTTGGCAAAGCAAAAAATGTTGTTCTACCTAACAACGTTACATCTTGTACATGTTGTGAAGGAAGAGTGTCATTTTTGACAGAAAACCCTGACAAAGACACTATAAATGTCATTGATGCTTGGACTCATTGTGCATTTTTAAAGGACTAGATGATACTCTTCGCAATGTGTATGCATCCTGCAAGACATCCAAAGAACCATGGTTGTCATTGGAGAAGAAATACAAAACGAAGGATGCAGGCTCCAAAAAGTCCGTTCTCGAAAAATTTCTAGATTTCAAGGTGACGAATTCCAGACCAGTGGTCAAACAAGTTGAAGTTCTTCAGATCATAATTCTTGAAAAAGATGTGTTAGAGAGAGAGAGAGAGAGAGAGAGAGAGAGTGGCACTTCTTCTTTTGACCACAAATAATAATAAGAGAGAAAAGGACTATGAAAGAGGCACAAAAAGAAAATGAGGGGAAAGTTTAAAATGTTTTAATCCTCCTCCAGAACCTGAGCCATAACCATTCTACTAAGAGGACTGGGGCCAAGCCTCTTCCTCCTCATCACACTTCTCCTCCTTATGACTTCCATTTGATTTCTCCTTCTAACTTGCATCATTGCCTCTTCTTCTACAACAAACCTTCTCATCAACACGTCGTCGGTCAATGACTTACCTCGAAACACTCTTCTGATTCCTTGGTCGGTACTATGTCGTCTTGCGCTCATTGCTTGTTGTGGTGTTTGTGCAGTAGTACTGCTACTAGTTGTACCAAGTGGCTTGGAATACGATCGCGTTCTCGGGTAACTATTGCTTCTTCTTGGGGGAAGCTCAGCTCTGAAAACCTCATTGTAGGAAGATATTGATGCACAAAGGCACACCCTTGTAAATGAAGTGGCAACCTTTAGAGAGGTACATTTTCGCAGTTTGTTGGCATGTCTAAGATTATTGTTACTGGAACTCGACGAACTGGAACTGGAAGCTGCAGAAAAGGTGTGATTGTTTGTTCCAGTAGTAGTACTACTGCCACCACTTTGGACATTAGGCGGGCATGGTTTTGTTCGTGTTTCGGTTTTGGTTTTCGATTCCAAGTGCCCACTCCGAACATTAACAGCGGTTTTCCATAGCGTGGATGAAGTTGACGCTGGAACTTGTGTGGACTTGGAAGTATTGCTGATGCTTCTCCATAAACTGCCCATCTCAATTGCTCTTTGATACCAAGGCTTATTCCTATATATTAAAAAACAAGTGCGTTATATTAACTGTAATATCCCCAAGATAACTATCTCTCATGCACCAAATAAAAAAACTTGTCAATATGAAAGGAAGCGTCTCAATTTATATTGTCTGATTAATACATATAAGATAGGCTATTTAGTACTACATTCTGGTGGTATTTCTCTTCATTTAGAAGTGAGAGATCTTAGGTTCGAATCTCATAGATGGCGAATTCAATACCAAATTAGGCTGTCCATTGTGTGATTTAGCCGAACTCCCTCTCCCTTAATGTGAAAATATCGATGTATTAAAAAAAAATACATATAAGATAGAGATGAAGTGCAAATTATAAGATTATGTTAGTTGTCAATAGGTACGAGATAAAGACAATGAAAACATCTATGAATGCATAAAACATAGAGATAATTAGACATAAGATCAATTACGTAGTTAATTATTAGGTTTAATCCTGCATATTTATCTTATCAATTTAGGTCCGTTCACTTTTGGTCCTACTTAATAAATTTCTTTTTTTATATTATGAGTCAACTTATTTTTTACAGAACTTTAACGAAAAGCTCTCGGTATTATTCATTTTAAAGAAAAGTCATATTTTTACACTAAAAAGTCAATCCTAGTACTATTCACTTTACCCTTTATTTTGTCCTTATCGTTAAAACTCAAAGTTTTTAAACAATTTTCATTAGTTTCTACCCAAGGATATTTTGGAAAACCGAATTCATGATTTTAAACAAAAAAAAAAAGTTATATGGATTTAATGTTGCTTATTTTAGCCACTCGGTATTATGGTTTAGTGGTTTTTTTCTTCACTTATAAATGAAAGGTTTTAGGTTCTATTCTCATAGAAGACGAATTTAAACTACATTATTACTAGTTCATTGTGATGCTAAAGTATATTCCCTTCCCTTATTGTAGATAATATTTTTTGTTAAAAAAAAATTATTGCTTATTTTATTTTAGGGGCGAGTTTACTACTAGTGCAAAAGTTATTCAAGTCAAAAGCAATCATTGTACAATTATGTCTCACACTGACGGTGATAAAAGGAGGAAAATGCGGGTATACTATATGTTTGTACTATATTGATGTATTATCTGATGCATTAAATAATGTATGCATATAATGTGAATTAATGAGTTTATTTGATTAAATGTTAATTGAATGAATATCTTGTCACATTAGATGGTTTATCAATATAGTATACATATGCAGTCTCTGTAAAATTACTCATCAAGTAATAATAACGTTGGATATAGGAACGATAGATGGCTTGGATTTAGGGATGAAGCGAGTAGTCTACCATTTAGAATCAGTGGCTTGTGGGATAATATTTCAAAATGAGTAATAATAGGGAGATCAAAATTTTAAATTAAATTTTCAAACTAAATGATGTGTCAACAATATAAAATAAACACGTTAATTAATATTTAAGTAATAATCCAATCATGTTCGTTCATCGTACATTATGCAGTCAGAAATTATTTTAAATATTTTTATTTAAAATTAAACACAAACAGTACTTGAAAAAAACTGTGTACGATGAATAAATATGATTTATTGATCTCTAGAATTCTCATCAAAAGGATCTGGAGAAGATCACGTTGGATGTAAATAGTCTTTGTGGCAGAATTTTCAATTGATTTGGACCGTATCTTTGTAACTAGATTAGATGGACAAGACCCAAAGTGATGCTAATGAAATGGACCGAAAACCCCCGAATTAGTATTAGTATTCCAAAATTATATTCTGCTTTCTCTTTAGTAGACTAGCAAAACACTCCAACCATTCGGATATAGTAAACATTAAACTCAATATATATATAAATTATATACAAAGCAGCAATTACTTAATCAACATTGAAGATGCATGCAGGCCTCAAATTAGTTGTGCCATAACATTCATGTAAATATGATTAGGCTTAATTGGATTAATAGTTTATGTGATGATAGGATAGTTGGAAGATAGATTATGTGATAAAAAAAAATTAGGATTTAAACCTCATGTAGTGAAGTTTGTTAAGATTTAGGCCCAAAATTGAAAATTTCCTCAACTCTTCACTAATTGTTAGCACATGAGACTAACATGTGAGACTAAAAAGATAAGTTAGCCTAATATATGCTAACAATTAACGGAGAATTCCGTTTTAGCCTAATATATATGGCTCACGTGCTAATAATTAACGGAACGTTGACGGAAATTTCAATTTTAAGCTTAAATTCTAACAAATTTTATCACATAAGCTTAAATCCTAATTTTTTTTACCACATGAACTAGCTTCTAACTACCTTTATCACCATAGACTAATAATCCAATTAGACGATATGATTATGTACCTATAAGCTTACAATGTACGCAGGGTGTGCGTGTTGAGAGAGAGAGAGAGAGAGAGAGAGAGAGGTGGGCAATGGGCATACCTTGCTTGTGAGTTACTTGGATCTTGCATGAACAGATAATGCAGGTCCAGGTGAAGAATAATGAGATGGGAGAGGAAGAAAGAGGAGGAGAAGGAGGAAGAAGAAGTTTCATTTGGGTTGATGAGAATAATGTGGAGGACCCTGCAGCTGCTTTTGCTCCAATTTCTGAACCAAAGATAGAGATGGAGATGGCAATGTGCTCCTTTTTCTTTACTCCATTTCTTTATTACCTCCTTTTCTTTGGCAACTTGGCAGGCCTGACTCCTCCAGAGAGAGAGAGAAAGAGAGAGAGAGACTTTCAAAATTCAAAATCTCTTTGCTTTATGTATCATGGTGTAACTACTAAAGCTCCCTTCATAACTTTTAAAGGACATCATTTTGGTTTGTGATTTTCACAAATTCTTTTTCTCTTCGTGTTTATTTTATGCCTCTGAACTAGAAAAATCACATGAGAACCTCTGGATGTATATAATTAGGATTAGATTGGTATAGTTATCGTACTAAAATTTTCATATCAATTACCATATTAAATTTTTGGTATCTCAAAATATATTACTAATGTTATGTCAAACTTTTGATACATCAAATTTCGATGTGTCAATTAATTCGGTTAGTATAGTAATGATAATATACCACTTTGATTCGGTTGTTATGGTATGATAATTTATATCATATAAACAATAGCAGGCATAAAGAAAAGAAAAAAATGCGAATAAATCTTATATCATATATACATATATATATATGTATGTATATAAAGCTAAAAAGATACCCAAATGATTGTAATCATGGTTACCTCCCTCCCAATGTCTATGATTATTAGCATGGAGGAAAGCTAAAGCATCTATGTGTTCAGACATGCCTTGCCTGCCTGGCCTGGCCTTGGCCCTTTGTGCACAAGAATCATATCATTATCATATGGGGATCAACCTGTACCTCTTATGGCACGCATCATACCTCATGCCTAGCGTTTAATATCTCAACCCTACCCAAAAGCCTTTTTCATCATATTGAATGACACCCTCCTAGACCCTACTTTAACAATGTATTTCCTTCACCTCAACCGCCTAGCTCTTTCCATAAAAACCATCCTTACAAAAAAAAAATCACTCAAACGCGAAATTAGCCGAGTTAGACATCAGAAATTGCCTTCTTTGCTGCTAGAGCGGAATCCTCAAAATTAGAAGAAACTTCCTCTTTGGGTCATCGAACTACAACAGATGGCATCATGATTCATTTGTGATAGATGTTATATTAAGAGGATTTGGATCCCATCCTCATTTAAATTGTAGGGATCTTAGAAAACCTCAAATCTTAGGCATTCGTCGTGCAGTCAGAAATCATTTGATTTTTTTATTTAAAATTAAACATAAATAGTACCTTACGAAAATTGGCCACGCGATGTACGATGAACGGTTAGAATATGAAAATCTTTAGAATCCCCACAAAATGAATCGGAGAGGCTCCTTGTCCATATTAAGAACCTAAAAGCTGTTGCATTAGGAAAAAGACATCATGATTGGGAGAGATTTTTCCATATATGTCCCTCTACTTGTATTATAATATATGGGGTATTAGCTTGCATGTTGGAAATAAGACCTGGTACACTAAATATAATAATATAATTGTTGGAAACTTGAAAAAAAAATTCAACCAATTGTATTATAACATTTGATATATTAAGTTGTGCTCCTAGCACATTGAAAATTTCTCCACCATTTAGCCTACACAAGCCTAGACATCAACTCCCAAGGTTTCCAATGAATTTGACATTTGTCATCAATTTTACCCAAGAAAACTTGCACAAAATTGGAAGCTCAGAATAAAAACTTTGGGGGAGAAGATAGTAATGAACACTAGAGATGGCTTGGGTCATTTTTTAAAGCATCTCCACATAAAACTGTAAATCCGCTAAAACTCTATTTTAAAGAGTTTTAAATTTGAAAAAACTCATCTTCAAGAGAAGCTTGACTCTATAAAAGAGTTTTTGTTATAGAAAAATGAACAGTTAGTATTTAAGTTTATGGAGCAACTGAGCTAAATATTAAAAAATTAATGAAATTCAAGTGGAATTCTCGAGCCAATGACAAAAGGAAGAGAGAATGTTGTTTTAAAAAATGAGTGAGTTGAGTTTTTTCTTCTTAAAATGAGTGATAATAAATATTCAAAATTTGTTAAAATAGAGCGTGTTTGTTGGAGACGAAAAGTTTAAGTGATTAGCTAAAGTAGTTCTTTAACACTGTTTAACTGCTAAACTAGCAAAAATTTAATAAAATTGTTTGAGATTCTCCAAGAAGTTCTCCTTCCAACTTGATAGTTTTCCACACCCTAATGGCATGATCTCTCGCGGCCCACAATAATCGAAAGACCCGAATAGGCATTGTGCAAATCAACCGATTTACTTCTGATCGGTCGACAACTGATCTTAAATACAACAAAGAACAATAGAGGCCCCAATTCCATTGGCGTGTGACCAACTCCATTTCCAATTCCCTCAAAAATCCAAAATTAGAACATCGCTTAAATGTAGAGAGTTCAATTTCATTGGAGTGTGTGTTGAGTTTTAAGTGTTTGTTTGCATATATCTTTTATAGAGAAACAACAACACAAGAATACAAGATATATACGGCAAGGTGTGATCAACACACTGATTACCCTTAAATCACTCCTACACGGCAGCTCCATAAAACAAGGAGCAGAAAGAAGGTAAGGCAAAAAGCTTCTAACCACCCTAGAAGTATGGGAAAGAAGATACAAGATCTAACTAGAAGTAAGGTGACAACTACACCCTAATCATCAACCTATCTAATAGCTCCGAATACCCAATCTTGACTTTTTTTAGACGATATGGGGTAACTGATGCTGCATATCGAATACCCATTATTGACTTTCAATACTCCCCCTCAAGCCGAGTCCAGAATGTTGATGGAACCGAGTTTGGATAGAAGACACTTAAACTGTTTTGGAGGTAATGGTTTGGTGAAAATGTCAGCTAATTGATCATCACTTCTTGTGTAGAGAGTTTGAATCACTTGAGTTTGCACTTGAGCACGGACATAGTGGCAATCAACCTCATTATGTTTTGTTCGTTCGTGGAACACTGGATTGGAAGCTATGTGCATTGCAGCTTGATTATCACAGTACATTGACATAGGTTGCTTTGTTTGAAACCCCAAATCACTCAACAGACCCTTAAGCCATATTAATTCACATGTTATGGATGCCATCAATCTATACTCAGCTTTTTGAAATGTTTGAGGCTCGCAGTGACTGGTGATGGTGTTCAAATAGGCAGCACAAGATTATGAAACTTTCTAGTAGGACATGAAACCACAGATTGGATGCTTTGCTAAATAAGTCACATAATCTTGAAGCTTGTATGAGGATACCTAGCATGCACTGGATTCTTTTGCCTTGAAATTGTTGTGTTTCTTTGGTTAAGCTTTCTGGCTCTTCATGAGAAGATTCTTCATTATGCATCTGTTGGTCAGGATTGTGATTACTATCTTGAGTTTCATCAGTTGCAGTAGGAGAATTAAGAGGTTGTATCTTGAGAGATAATTCCTCAACCCTTGGTAAGGGAAAAAATTCAAAACATGACTTCTTCAAACAACTTGTTGAAAAAGGGGTTAGTTTCATCAAATCGTACCTCCCTTGAAACTACAACTCTCTTTAACTCAGGACTATAGCACTTGTAACCTTTTTAAGTAGATGAGTAACCAAGAAACATGCATTTGTTCGCCCCAAGGTCCAGTTTATCCCTATGTTGTGGTTGAATAGGAACATAGCATGTGCATCCAAAGACTTTAAGATGTGATAGACTAGTATCCCTTCCTTTTAACACTTCTATTGGAGATTTGAACTCCAAGACTCGACTTGGTACTCTATTTATGATATATGCAACCGTCATGACCCCTTGAGACCAAAATCTTTTTGGTACTTTCATGTACAACATTAGAGCTCTCGTTTTTTCAAGTAAATCACGATTCTTTCTCTTTGCTAGATTGTTTTGTTGTGGAGTACCAACACAACTGCTTTGATGCAAAATTCCATTATTGCTTAAATATTGTTTCATGATGTGTGACATATATTCCGATGCCACATATCACATTACAAACCAAGTTTACAAGCTCCATGATTTTAAAAAACTTCCTACAACTGAAACATGTGAAGGTGTAGGAAGTTTTTTAAAATCATAGAGCTTGTAAACTTGGTTTATCATGTGATATGTGGCACCAGAATCTATGACCCACAAATCATGCAATTGATTTATATTTAGAGCAGTTTTGAAAGCTGTCAATATACCTTGCGTGTTGTCTTGAGTGAGCTTTTTCGAGTCAGCAAGAAAACCTGCAAACTTTCCTAGCATTGTAGTTGAGTTGCCATTACCAGAGGTACCAGCTTTATCACTCCCAGAGACTTTCTTCTTCAGTTGAAGGTATGCAACAAACTCATTTATAAGTGTGGTGGGATTGGAGGTAAAATTCAAAAGATCCTCTGAGCCTCTAGTTAATAGGGATGAGGCATGATTAGCTTTGTAATTGGGAAACTGAGGCTTCTTCTGAATAAACCTTTCATTCTTCTTGAAGTCTGGTTTGAGCTCAGGGTGGAAAATCCAGCAATTGTCCTGCACGTGTCCGGTGGCATCACAATGTTTGCATTTGAGATGAGGATTTCTTCCCTTGTACTTTGTTTGTACCATACTTGACCAATCCTGAAACTACTAATCACCGGTCAACAGCATACCGTCAAGGACCCACAAGACTTTTCCTCCAACTAGGAGGCCAATCACAACACGACACATGTTGGTATCAGAAGCCAATCACAGCGCGACACATGTCGATATCAGAGGCCAATCACAACACGACACGTGTCAATGTTAGAACAAAGCTAGAAACTCTCTTCTATAAAAGGGTATCATTCTCCCACAATAATCGTTAATGTCATTTGTACTAAACTATTCACTAGAACTCACTAAAAGAGACCTTGAACCTATGTATTTGTGTAAACCCTTCACAACTAATGAGAACTCCTCTACTCCGTGGACGTAGCCAATCTGGGTGAACCACGTACATCTTGTGTTGTTTGCTTCCCTATCTCTATTCATTTACATACTTATCCACACTAATGACCAGAGCAACCTAGTAAAGGTCACAAACTTGACATTTTCTGTTGTACCAAAGTCCTCGCCGATTTTGTGCATCAACATTTGGCGTCGTCTATGGGAATCGCATTTATTCCTACTCTCTCCAGCTTTATCAAGCTGGTTTCCACCATTCGCATACTTTCTTTCGACCAGGCACCCCTCTCCAACATGGGGAGTGAAGGGAGCCACAACACGCAGAACGACACCCCCCATCGCACTTAGTGGAAAGCAACGAAAAAAGGAACGAAAGAGGTTTTCTCTTCAGGCTAAAGTCGATGAGCTAGAGGCTCAGAACAACAAGATAGCGATAAAGAATGAGATCCTCTATGAGCAGTATGAGAAGCTCTTCGGAATGCTCCATGAAGCTAGGCATACTCAAACACACGAACTCATCGCCTCCGGGGAAGTCAACCACCACCTGGGTGCCCCCCAACATGGGGGATCACCTGCCTTCAACATGGATATCCCTAATGGGGAGCGAGTTACTCATCAAGGTGTTGATCAACATGAGACCTCTCTCGACCCAGCTACTTCGACCCGAAGCATGAGAAGTGGAGGAAGGAACCTTATTGCAGAGGAAGTAGAATGATCAAAAGCCGTTTATCGCGACTGTTGGGACTTCCTGAGGCAACGTCGAGAGAATCCCATCCACATAAACTCGAAGGTCAATGATCCAAGGGTTTCTGAAAGGTTCGGTCCTCTCCCATGCCCCAAGCCAATTGCCAATCTAGGGAATGAGCGACATGTCCTAGAGGAATATGAAGGTACGGGGGACTCGAGGGTGTTTCGACAAGCTCGCCCTGGAGTCAGTACGGTGAGTCCAACGAAAAATCCCATGCCCTTGACCAAGCTTTCCTACTTCCAAGAGGAGATTGAGACTTACGGAAGAAGGATCCAGCAATGCCTGACTCCACTCAGGACCCCCTTGTCCTACAACTCCTTGAGGAAGTAAACAAGTTGAAGGCCGAACGTCAGGCCGAAATACCTGACTGGAACCAACCTAGGCCTGGCACTCTTACAAGAAGGATCCTCGACACCCCCTCCAAGCAAAGACAAAGCAGAAGCTTGGTTTACAACTCTACACTGGAAGGAATGAACCGATTAAACACCTTAACCTCTTTGAGTCCACTATGGCATACCGGATGCACACTGACGAAGAACGATATCTTCTCTTCCCCTCTACCCTCTCTGGCAGAGCTCTGAATTGGTATTGCCGTTTTCCACCTGAGACAGTAGACTCATTTGAGGAACCGAGGAAACTATTTGTCTCTCAACATATCTTCCAGACAGATCGTTTGCATTCCGCAGATGACTTGTACACTATTCGCCAGAAGCTGGATGAGTCACTACGAAAGTATGCCGGCCGCTTTAGCCATGAGTATTCTTGCTGTGCTGAGGCAGATGACAAAACCGCCCTTAAAGCCTTCAAAGCAGGCCTACGCGACTGTTTCTTCAAGTACATGATCAATGCTAACACTTGGAAGGCTTACTCTGAGGTAATGGCGCATGCTTATAACCATGCCTCCGCTGAGGCAAGGACATATCAAGGAAAATTCCCTACAGCCATCCCTTATCAGCAAATAGGGAGTGAAAGCCAAATCCAACCGAATGAGAAGATCTCAACCTTCCAAACAGTAGCGACGCTTCCCCCTGCCCTACCTAATACCTCGCCAAGTCAACAGGCGTATCATTCTTTAGGCAAGAGGAAAGACTTCCATCCTTACCAGTCTCAGTTTAATAAAAAGAGTAAGGGGCACTATCGCGATAACCAAAGGTATCACCACAATAATACCCGCCCCTAGGCAGTCAATGCAGTGGGCCAAACACGTGTTAAGAATGGTCCTACCCCTAGGTATGAGACATACACACCTTTGAATGTCACATGCACGGCCATTTACCCCAGTATAGTTCACTTGATATCAAAGCCAAGGCTGAGGGAGCCAGATTTCAAGTCCACGAAGAACACAGGCATGTTTTGTGGTTACCACGAGTATAATAGCCATGACGGCGAGAAATGTATCACCCTCCGTGATCATATTGAAACTTTGGCACGTGAAGGAAAAATTGACCAGTTCCTCCTTCACCCTCCAAGGGATAACCGCAACCAACGCCAAGTGAATGTGATATATTCCATAAGCGGTGGCACACCCATATCTGAATCTTCCAACAGGGCCATTAAAAACAATGAACGAACATTGAAGCCTGGCCACCAAGTGTTTCACGTGGAAAACATCAGGGGAGGCAAGTATCAAAAGCCTAACTGGGATCCAATATGTTTCTACCCTAAGGAAGAAATAGGTATCATCTATCCTCACAACGACCTACTGATTGTGGAGGCTCACATAGCCAACTTTGATGTACAACACGGGGGCGTTGGTCAATATCATGTTTGATGAAGCTTTCAAAACACTTAATGTAGCTGAACACTTGCTCGATCACTCGATTTTTCCTTTGATAAGCTTCTCTAGTGATGTCGTGCAACCTGTAGGGAGCGTACATTTACCCTTCACCATCGGTACAGGCCCGTAAACAGCCACCATCACCACTAACTTCTTGGTGGTTAACTGCCCAACGGCATACAATGTTATCTTTGGACGCACGTGCATTAATGATCTCAAGGCCATGGTATCCACGCATATGTTGATGAAATTTCCAACCCCCTATGGCAATGGTTACATCAGAGGAGATCAACTTAGTGCACAATCATGTTACAACACTTCAGTCAAGCAACAACACTTGCATGTACCCAAAGAAACTCTTTCTATACATGACCAAGTTATCAAGACCAGCTCAGACAAAGCCAACTTGAATATTCACGATGGTAACAATCAACCCAACGATCCTCGAGATGACTCTTTCACCTAACAAGCACAACCTGCTGAAGAGTTGGAGAAGGTCTCTATCTCAAAAGATTATCCAGATTGCATAGTGAAGATTGGCACCACTTTGTCACCACCCATTCGGTTGGCATCTCTTTTTTGCAAGAGAACACTGAAGTCTTCGCCTGGTCATACAAGGACATGCCAGGCATCTCTCCCGATATCATTTGTCATCGCTTGAGTATTGATCCCAAGACCAAGCCAGTTAAACAGAAGCGAAGATCTTATGATGCTGAACGATATAAAGCAATGAAGGCAGAAGTTGAAAAACTCAAAAGCATAGGCTTCATCCGTGAAGTCAATTATCCAACGTGGGTAGCAAATGTGGTCCTTATTAAGAAAAATCCGACCAAGGAAAGTCTTTTGCTTCAAAAGATCTTGTGGAGAATATGTGTCGACTACACCGACTTAAACAAATGATGCCCGAAGAATAGCTTTACCCTTCCTCTCATTGATAGACTTGTAGACTCTACAGTAGGGTGTGAACTCTTGAGCTTCATGGATGCTTACTCAGGGTACAATCAAATCCTCATGAACCCTTCGGACCAAGAACACACGACCTTCACCACTGATAGAGGACTATATTGCTATAAAGTCATGCCATTCGGCCTAAAGAATGCAGGGGCGACTTATCAAAGATTGGTCAATTCAATGTTCGCTGAACTGATTGGGAAAAACATGGAAGTTTATGTTGATGATATGTTAGTCAAAAGAAAACATTCTGACCAACATATTGCCAACTTGTCTGAAACCTTCTCCATCCTGAAGAAGTATCGAATGAGGTTGAACCCCAACAAATGCGTTTTTGGTGTGGGCTCTGAAAAATTCTTAGGCTTCATGATTAGCCAACGAGGCATTAAAGCTAACCCCGAGAAGATCAAAGCAATCATGAACATGAAAGAACCAGTAACTTCAAAAGACATCCAGAGCCTTACTGGCAAGGTGGCAGCCTTGACCAGGTTCATCTCTAAGGCCACAGACAAATGCGCTCATTTTTTCAAAGCACTCAAGGAAAGTAAAAAGTACATTACGTGGACCGATGAATGTGCCAAAGCATTTAAGAACCTCAAGGAGTACATGAGTAAAGCCCCTCTGCTTTCCAAACCTGAAGTTGGCGACACCCTAATTGTCTATCTATCTGTCTCAGCTTCAGCAGTTAGTTCCGTCCTCATTCGTAGAGATGGTAGTATCGAACGACCTGTCTACTACGCTAACAAGGCTTTACAAGATGCGGAGACATGATACTCCAACATTGAGAAATTAACTCTAGCATTAGTCATGTCTGCTCAGAAACTTCGCCCCTACTTTCAAGCACACTCCGTCATCGTGTTTACCAATCACCCCATTCGACAAATACTTCAGAGTCTTGACACTTCGGGGCGAATGATCAAATGGGCCATAGCACTGAGAGAGTTTAACATCTTCTACCACCTAAAGCTAGCTGAAAAGGGCCAAGCAGTTGTAGATTTCATTGCCGAATTCACTTATCCCGTTAACATTTCTCCTACACCTGAGGCAGCGGCTTCATCACCCCTGGAAACCCGGAAGGTAGAACCAACACTCCCAGTATGGACTCTATATGTTGATGGCTCATCCAACAAACAAGGTTGTGGAGCAGGACTAGTCCTGACTTCCCTCGACAAAGTGGCAATGAAGTATGCTCTTCGCTTCAAATTCAAGACGTCAAACAATGAAGCCGAGTATGAGGCCCTTTTAGAAGGCTTACGTTTGGCCAAACACCTTGGAGTTAAACAAATTAATATCTTCAGTGACTCCCAATTGGTGGTTAACCAGGTCACGAACAACTTTGACGCTAAGGATAACTTCATGGCAGCGTATCTTGCGCAAACGCAGCTTTTGCTCAAGTACTTCCACTACCAGATCACCCAAGTCCCTCGAGCGGCAAACAGTCATGCAGACACTTTGGCTTGCCTCGCCTCAGCAGTGGAAGACAAGATTAGGAGAAAAATTCATATCGAATTGTTGGCAACACCAAGCACCATGGTCACAGAAGTGTGCAACTTGCAACAGGGGAATAGCTGGATCACCCCAATTTATAAATTTCTTGTTCATGGCACTCTCCCAAATGATAAAGTCCAAGCTAAACAGATTCGATACAAGTCTACCCGCTACCTGATCATTAATGACCAACTCTACAAGCGAGGTTTTAACCTACCATACTTACGGTGCCTCACACCTATGGAAACCGAAATTGTCCTTTGAGAAATACATGAAGGAGTCTGCGGAGATCATGCTGGATCTCGATCCCTAGCACACAAGGCTTTTCGCCAAGGATATTACTGGCTAACACTCTACCAAGATGCCATCAGAATATCCCACTCATGTGATAAGTGTCAACGCTACGCAACTATTCATCATTCCCATCCCGAGCCTCTTACTCCTATGATCAGCCCTTGGCCCTTTGCCCAATGTGGATTTGATTTGATTGGCCCAATAACTGCAGGAAACGGCAAGGTCCGCTATGCAATCGTTGCAGTTAACTACTTCACAAAGTGGGCCGAAGTAGAACCCTTGGCAACCATTACTGAGGCAAAAATAGAAGACTTCGTATGGAAGAACATCCTTTGCAGATTTGGCATTCCTAATGCGATAGTCACGGATAATAGGCGACAATTCGACAACAAGAAGTTCAGGATGTTCTGTTCTAAGTTCAACATCAACTTATGTTTTGTCTCCTCAGCTCATCCCTAGTCTAACGGACAAGTTGAGGCCATCAACAAAATAATCAAGCGCACTTTGAAAACCAGCTTGGACAAGGCCAAAGGTTGTTGGCAAGAATTTGTACCCCAAGTTCTTTGGTCATACCACACTTCATATCGGACTTCAACAGGAGAAACTCCATTCTCACTTGCCTTTGGTACAGAGGCTATTGTCTCAGTTGAGCTTGAGCAAGCAATGTTTCGAGTCCAGAACTATATGCAAAGTGAAAATGACAAACAACTCACCCTCAACTTGGATCTAGTCAAGGAACACAAAAACCAGGCTCACTTGAGGAATGTAGCCTACAAGCAGCGCATCTCCAACTACTATGACTCAAGAGTCAAACCTCGCTCTTTCAAAGTGGGGGACTGGGTATTGAAGAAAAGACTACTCTGCGACAGAGTCCCGAGTGAAGGCACGCTTAGCCCAAATTGGGATGGACCGTTTGAAGTTATTGGCATCAGTCGCCCTGGTTCTTACAAACTCAAGAGCTCCGATGGCAAGACCCTTGGCCATCCATGGAACGCTGATCACTTGAAGTACTATTACAAGTAGACTCACACTGTACAAGTGTTGAGTTACAGCCATTCGGCATCCTATGTAATGAAGGTCATTTAGCAACAATTCAATAAAGAGATGATTTAGACAACTTGGTCCTAACTCCCTTACATCCCTATCACTGAAACGCTCAGGTTTGAAGCTTCAACATGAATGCTTACAACATGAAATAAAGTCTAAGTATATGTCAACATGACTTAAATCCAAACAAGGGATCCTTTCATGCATAGCAAAACATTCATAGGCATCACTCATGTCAATCAACATAAACATCATACATTCCAATACATTCATCCATAAACATCATACATTCCAACACATCCATACATAAGCCAACTGTGCTTCGAAAGGGTTCAACATACTTTGTGTCATTCGACACTTACTACAATGTGCCTCGACACCTTGCCCTTATTCTCACCAACCAAGTGATGAAATGTGAAGAAAGAACTCATCTTCAAGCCACTAACGAGGTGATGAAATGTACAACCTGTACTCTCCTTCATGCCACCAATCAGGTGATAAAATATACAACCTGTACTCTAATATCATTTGGCAACTTGCCACTCATGCCACCAACCAAGTGAAGAAGGAACTCATCTTCGTGCCACCAACTAGGTGATGAAATGTGATGAAAGGTGATAAAGGAACTCACATTCGTACCACTAACCAAGTGATGAAAGCAACTCACCATTCATTCCACTAACCAGAAGACGAGTGGTAAAACTTGTACATGTGAACTCCTAGGATTCAAAAATAATCAAAAACCCTCAAGCTTTACAACTCAACTAGGGGAGTACTTATGCCTAACAAGAGTTATAGTCACGAACGAAGTCTTATTGCAAGCCAACAACGGCTTCAGTGCATGGTATACGAAGATCAAGCTCTTCAGCCCTCTTACATCTGCTTCAGACATTTCTTCTCTGTAACAATGTAAACATTACAACTCGTAGAAAGCTTCACACACTCTTGATCAAAACTGTTCGAAGCAAATTCAATTTATATGGTTCATCCAAACCTTCAACTACTACAAGGTGTGGCTTGCATCACAATCTCTTACTCAACAGTGTGGAAGCAAAATTTGTATATGTTGTCTCTCTTCCACAAAATTTGTATATGTTGTCTCTCCTACAAAGTTTCAACACAAAAGCCTCACTTACAAAGTTCAACATCAAACAAAGCTTCATCAATGGAGAGCAACTACAATTCTCAAAAGCTTCACACTCTTAATCAAGATA